TTTCTAATATTTCAACAGATTAATTTTCTTCATATACCAGATAAAAACAGATTGAATGCAAAAGTTCATGAGACTACAGCTGTATTAGGCCAAATATTAAGATCTGCAAAAATGAAATTCAGCTAGGAGGCAGTGGCTCACACCTGTAATCCTAGTTACTCAAGAGGCTGAGATCTGAGGACTTTGGTTCTAAGCCAGCCTGAGCAGAACAGTCCCTGAGTGACTCTCCAATTAACAACTCAAAAACCAGAAGTGGAGCTCAAAGTGGTAGAGCACTAGCCTTGAGCAACAGTGCTCATTGAAGTGCTCAGGCCCCGAATTGAAACCCAATAACAGAAAGAGCTGTCAATCTTTAATTAATTTTTTTTTGTTTTGTACCATCATTTTCCATTTAAAATGTTAACCAGTAGTTTGTGGACTTTAAATGAATTAATAAATATATTTTACTAATACAGTCACTATATATAAATGTACTAAGAAAAACTATTGGAATCCTACAATAATTTTTTTTTTTTTTTGTCAGTTGTGGGGCCTGAGCTTTGGGCCTGGGCGCTGTCCCCCAGCTCTTCAGCTGTAGACCAGTGCTCTACCACTTGAGCCTCAGCCCCACTTCTGGCTTTTTCTGCTTATGTGGTGCTGAGGAATCGAACCGAGGGCCTCATGCATGCAAGGCAAGCACTCTACCACTAAGCCACCTTCCCAGCGCCATCCTACAATAATTATTAAAAATATGAAGGGATACTGAAAGCAAAATGTTTGAAAATCATTAAAGTACACTTATTAATACTTCAATGTCATTTTTATTTACTTTTTGAGTTTTTTGGAATGGGGGAGGTGGCTCGAGATAGGATCTCATTATGTTGCCCAAGCTCCCCCTTAATTGCCATTCCCCTGCCTCACCCTCAGGCATGGACAAACCAGGGTTCTGTTTTAGTTTGGTTTGTATTGCTAAGAATCAGACCAGAGTCTGTGCATGATATGAAAGTGTTCTACTACTGAACTATATCCCCAGCCCTTATTTTAGGATATTCTAAAAGTGCAGGGCTGGGAAGGTGGCTCAGTGGTAAAGCACTTGCCTTGCATGCTTGAGGCCCTGGGTTCAATTCCTCAGCACCCATAAGCAAAAAACAAGCCAGAAGTGGTGATGTGGCTCAAGTGGTAGAGCACTAGCCTTGAGCTGAAGAGCTGAGGGGCAGCGCCCAGGCTCAGAGTTCAGGCCCACGACCGGACCCAAAATAAAAACCAAAACAAATAAAAATGCAGCATAATGCAAGTAAGTCTAAGATATAGTCCCATCCCGACTGCCACAAGAGAAAAGACAAGCTGACAAAATGTTTCATTTTGCCAAAGGCAATTACAATAGTAATATAAAACTGAACTATATGGACTGGGAAGTTGGCTCAGTGGTAGAGTGCTTGCCTTGCATGCATGAGCCCCTGGATTCAATTCCTCAGCACCACATAAAACAGAAAAAGCTGGAAGTGGCGCTATGGCTCTAGTGGTAGAGTGCTATCCTTGAGCTGAAGAGCTGAGGGACAGCACCCAGACCCAGAGTTCAGGCCCCACAACCGACAAAAAAAAAAAAACTGAACTATAGAACTTATGCAGAAATAGAATCCAAGATTTTTCATAACATCAACACACATAAAATAAGAAAATTTGGGTTTCAGAAAAGCGAACATAGTCCTTAAGTGAATTATCTGTCCTAACAATTGTACTAGAGTCGGTTTCTACCATCTAAACTATCACCTTAAGTAAAGAATATTCAAAGAACTCTAAGCAGAATATAAACCTACTTACCGAAGTCACAAAAAAGGAGCAAGGAGCTCAAGCCTGTAATCCAACCTACTTAGGAGACTAAGAGCTAAGGATGGAGGTTAGAAGCCAGGAGTGGCAAGAAACGCCCTTAAGACACTTATCTCCATTAAACTACCAAAATTAGCTAGCAAGTGATAAGAGTACCATTCTTTTTTTTTTGGTCTGTCGTAGGGCGTGAACTCTGCACTTGGGCATTGTCCCTCCGCTCTTCAGCTCAAGGAGAGCACTCTACCACTTGAGCCACGGCGCCACTTCCAGCTCTCTGGTGCTTTATTTGAGATAAGAGTCTCATCAACTTTCATGCCTGGGCTGGCTTTGAACCAGGATCCTCAGATCTCAGCCTCCTGAGTAGCTAGGATTACAGGCGTGAGTCACGGCACCCAGCTAAGAGTACCATTTTTTTTGGGGGGGGGGTCCGGTCATGGGACCTGAACTCTGGGCCTGGGCGCTGTCCCTCAGCTCTTCAGCTCAAGGCTAGCACTCTACCACTTGAGCCACAGCGCCACTTCTGGCTTTTTTTTTCTGCTTATGTGGTGCTGAGGAATCGAACCCAGGGCCTCTTGTATGCAAGGCAAGCACTCTACCACTGAACCACCTTCCCCGTCCATGAGTACCATTCTTGAGCAAAAAAAAATTCAGAGAGGCTGGGAAAGCTTCAAATGCATGAGGCCCGGGGTTCTATTCCTTAGTACCACATAAACACAAAAAGCCAGAAGTGGCACTGTGGCTCAAGTGGTAAAGCGCTAGCTTGGGCTAAAGAGTTCAGGGACAGCGCCCAGGCTAAGTTCAAGCCCAACGACTGACAAAAAAAAAAAGTTCAGAGACAACGACCAGGTTCTGAGTTCAAATGCCAGGACCAGTGCTAGCTCACTCACACACACACAAATGTCAGGAAAAATATTTAACTATTAGAAACAATCCATTATTTTGAATTATAGGGCTATGGTTAGTTTTATTATTAAAATAAGCACAATCAACTCTTTTAATGAAATGTCAAGCTTTTTCTAAAAAGAGCCACCAGTAGAGAATGATAATAGCATTCACTAATTAATATCTTTTTAGTTATTCTGTGAAGCATAAGCTATCATCAATTTAAATGCCAGCAAAAAGAATCCTTGTATAAGCTGGGTGTAAAAAAAAAAAGACAGTTCACTTCAGAACTGTATTGTTAATTGAGCAAGGTGAGAGTTGACAGTAGCCTATTTACCTCAGAAAGAAATAACTAAAGCCCTGATGGCTCACACCTGTAATCCTAGCTACTCAGGAGGCTGAGATCCAAGGATCACAGTTCAAAGCCAGCCCAGGCAAGGAAGTCCGAGAGACTTGTATCTCCCATAAATCACTCAGAAAACCGGAAGTGGCGCTGTGGCTCAAATGGTAGTGTGCTAGCCTTGAGCTGAAGAGCTGAGGGACAGCGCCCAGGCCCAGAGTTCAAGCCCCACGACTAACAAAAAAAAAAAGGAAAGAAGGAAAGAAAGAAACTAGTAAAGCAAGGCAAATTCTATTGAAAAAAAAAAAAAAACTACTTCCAAAGTCACACAACTGACCTAAAGGAGACTCTATTACAGATCATTTCCTCATTTCCTAATATGCAGAAGGCCTGAATCTGCAGCTTTCAAATTAAGCATTTTCAATGCGTTCTCATCCTATTTTCAGTTCACTGGTATTTGGGCAGTAAAAATGTTTAAGATTTTCAAATTAAAAACAAGATTCCATTTATGTCGGTAATAAAGCAGAAACTAAGACCTGATTAGAGAAGTTCACCACTGAAATCTGTCTTATCCAGTTCATTTTCCTTTTGGTGTAGAGGATAGAGCACATACTGTACCGTTGAGCTAGCTAGCTACATTCCCAGCCCATACCCAGTTTGGGGTTTGTTTGTTTTTTTTTTTTGGTAGGTCATGGATCTTGGAATTGTGGGCCTGGGCGCTGTCCCTGAGCACTTTGGCTCAAGGCTGGCGCTCTACCACGTTGGGCCACAGCTCCACTTCCGGTTTTCTGGTGGGTTAATTGGAGGTAAGAGTCTCCCGGACTTTCCAGCCGGGGTTGGCTTTGAACCTCGATCCTCAGATCTTAGCCTCCTGAGTAGCTAGGATTACAAGGTTTGAGCCACCCGCACCCGGCTCAGACCCAGTTTTTTGTGTGTTTGCTTTAATTAAGTGTATGGCTGGGAAAGGAAAAACAAAAACACCCTATCTTATTCCACCTTGTTATTTTTCCCCCCTCTTCTGGGCTACTTCAATCTTGTATGACTATTTAGATACTGCATGCTGAAATTACTTCCCACCAAGAACAATACCAATTCAGCTACCACGACTGAAAACATCCTCAAATCGCCACTGTTGAATCCCTTCCTCTTCCCCTACCCACCCCCCCTACCCAGCCCTGGAAAATTCGGTCATCTCCACCGCGCGTCATTTACAAATGGAGGGCGGAGATCCCCAGACTCTCACCCATCGCCTTAACAGGTGATCCCGCCGGTGCAAAACCAGCCCCGGTTATCATCTCCGGGGGGGGGGATGAAAATGGCAGCCCCCATTCCCTCCGGCTGGCCGCTCTCCGCGGCCACAAACTTCAGCGCAGCCCTCCGGCACCCGTCTTGTCAGCCGGCGCAGCTTTACCGGTGCCCGAGTTACCCCCATCTCCGACCCCAGATTCCCCATGACCTTGGGCCTGGGCCCCGGCGAGGAAACCCCGATGAAACGTGCCGCGCGCACCGCAGCC